CATGTTCCTTTCTTAGCCTTTTTATTCATCACCTAAATAGAGGCTTTGGAAATTAAAGCTTGGCAGCAGTAAGGTGGAATTAAACATTTTAGTGACGCTAATGTTTTCTTGATTTGTTTACAGGCAGGAAGAAAAACGTAAAGAATTGATGATCGCATTGAAACCCTTTGTATGATATTTTGAGTAATTCATTTACTGATTACAGAAGGTAAAGCTCACATAAAACAAAAAAAAACATTATATAAAAACATTTATAGTTGTGCTGTAATGTTTATCTCTCCATTTGGCTTGCATTGATGCTCTGTTGGCTGCTTCCTTTGGGCATTTGCAAAACATTTATTGTTATTACAATTACTAACATGACATATTTAAAAATTAGGGGCTGCAAATTATCTGATAATGATCCTTAGTGCAGTGATAAGTGTGATACATTCACTAATAGATGTATAAGCGAAAGTGTAATGTTTATAGTGTACAAATCTGATGTTAGCTGCGAATTCAAAATCTGTTCATTTGATATAATTGTGCAAGAAATACAGTCGAGCTGATACCAAAATATCGCTCATATGGCAGTCTATGTCCCCCCAGGGTGACTGCCGAACGTACGACCTGGTAACTATCTGAATATGGTTCAGGGTTAGGGAGTAGCGTAAGGCGACTCCCTAGACTCGTTAAGTGGATAGGCGAGGTATCGGTCCGCCACTATTAGATAGTACCAAGGGAACGTTCGCGGCAGTACCCTGCCTGGGGGCATAGACCGCTCTCAGCCAAATACGCTCGCTAGCTATCATGTATCCTCCATGGGCAGTGGTTTATTATGAGTTTAATAAAATAATATACCAATGTACGCAAGTGCTGATCATGTACTGATATAATAAGCTAGTCTGTTTCAGTTTCAGTTCCTAGAAACGAAAAAGCAAACCAACTTACCTGAGGGAGGCTTGCGTGTGACTAGAGAAACGCACTACTGGGCAGAATACACTAGACGGCTTTTGGCCTTACCTGTAAGATAGTATCTGTTACGATGATACCGCGTAATACCGCAATTTGGCTTCAGGATTTCAACTCGCTGTATTTGCCTGTGGTTATAAGTGCGCCATACCGTGAGGGGAAATATACTAGGCTCAATACTTGGTTACCGCTTCTAATTGAGGTGCGGCACATGTATTTATATATGTGATTTTAGATGTACATGTATTTATGTATAACAGGGTGTAAAATCCGGAGTCAAATACTCCCTGATTTACTGTCGGACTCGCTGATTTGACATATGCAGGAGTCCGTGTGACTCCCTGAAAATTCTGCTATACTGACTAGTTCATTCCGGAGCACGGCCTCGCGGAATTACTGTATTTGTTCAGCTATTAAATGTCCAAAGAAAATTTGGCAGACGTGCAACGGCATGAATCTTAAAAATAAGCACATGCGTTATTGTTAATGTCTTTAATGTTGAACCTCAGACTGCGGACTCCCTCCTTTTGCTACGGACTCCCTCTTTTTGAGGGTAGGGAGTCCGTTGGACTCCATTGTTCAAAAGTTAATTTCTACCCCTGTATATATGTGCTGTAGCATGAGCGTGGTGGTGGTGGGGCGCGGACTTGACGTGATGCGGCCATGATGACGAGGCGTGCCGAGGATTGACACTTTGTGTCTTCCAATCACAGTCTACGCGGCACCAGTCTTTGACATTTTTAAAGATGGGGACCCATTGGAACACCAAATTGCCGATCTCAGGAAATAGGGCATTCTGCTACGCTAGAACCGTTCCTACGATAGTTTGCCACAAATACGAAAATAACACGCGCTACGTCCTTCTGTCGTATTTTCGCATCTCCGTAATCAGAATAAGCCCCGCCTTCTTCGTTGATGGGCATGAATGGGGCGTCACCAACGTGAACCGTTACTGCGTGTAGGTGTTTGGCGAGACTGTTTGCTTTTCGTAACTAATGAAAGGCCCGGTCGATGCATTTCGCATCGAAGTGGAAAAGTGAACGAGTGCGTCATTCATTAAACCTTGAAGTTTTTCTTAAAATTAAATAATTCCGAAAATCCCTACCCGCGCTGCTCGATTGTTTTAGCCAATGAACGTAGCTGTCTGTGTGACATCATGCCCACGCGCTTTATGCTTGGCAGGCCTCGAAATGGATATCGGAGGCAGGCACCTCGCAACACACGTTACTGTAAGGCGCGTGTTTGTTTACATATGGCTTTGTGACGTCAGGATGGGCGGTGTTCGGTAGTTTTGCGATGATAACCTCGTAATTTCTCAGAATTTCTTAAGGTGCATGGAACATTTGCCCAATTTAGTGGTGTCAGTTAGTTACAGATATGTCACAGTAAGTACTAACCGTATATGTTTCACATACGTTCACCTATTTTGCACACAGGTGGTCAATCATTGTGAAAAATTGTGTGAATATTTATTTTTATTGAGACGTTGCAAGTGCCTGTGCTTTCATCAGTCCTGTACGTCAATGCACGTGCGTCAAGAGCCACAGACTCAACACCATTTCATCTCTGTTATAAATTGTTTACGCCTGATTGCGTGATTGATCAGGGAAGGGGTGCATGTAAGAGGAAGACATTTTCTTTAGGGTTCCGAAAAACACTATTCCACCTGACAATTTCATGGGCCATTTCAATTGGAAGCTCTGCATAATGGACCCCCAACAAGCCCATTGACTGACTAGTCAAGAAATTCAAAGGGCTGTATATTGCTCATATTTCGCCGCTGATAGTTCTTATTTAGAACAAAGTCTTCATTGTTATCTTCTAAAACTACAGACTATCCGCTGACCGCTGTGGAGACGTGTGCCGGGCCTCGAAATTGGCGCACGTACTCCATTGCAGACAGCGCTTCATACTTGAACATCCCCGCAGTCGCGTGCGCATATCCCACGGAACTGCGCGTCTCATCCGCTCGCAGCGCTCAGGATCAACAGCAAAGCTGTGCTACGCAATCTTGTATCATGTCTCTCTGGATGATTTGGATTTTGGTGTTGTTTTATCGAATTTGTCCCATAGCCTAGTAGTGCTGAGAGGGTCTATGTCCACCAGGGTACTGCCGGAACGTACCCTGCGTACGGTCCGGTATACCGGAACGCACCCTGGTACTATCTAATATGCTGCACCATACCTCGCCTACTCCACTAACGAGTCTAGGGAGTTGCCTACGCCTACTCCCTAACCCTAACCCTAACCATAACTCTAACCCTAACACTAACCCTAACCCTAACCCTAACCATATCAAATAGTTACCAGAGTAAGTTCCGGTATACCGGACCGTACCCAAGGTACGTTCCAGCAGTACCCTGGGGGACTTAGACCCGGTAAACATCAGGTTTAGCGTCGTAAATTAACTCTCAGCGTATTGATCAGTGGAACATCGTCAGCACTCTCGTAGTTCTGGTACAGGGTAGCGAAGGAGCAGTGTAGGGAGGGGGAGGGAAAAAGGAGGGGGAGGGAGGAGGAAGTTTAGAGCAGTGGAAAAAATACACGGGAGCTCGGGGCGATTTAGCCCCCGAAATGCCAAAAAGAGCCCCGGAAATGCCAAAAAGAGCCCCCGTAAATTTGCATAAAGTTCAATGCAAACCAAATTTTAGAGTGCTATTTTCATGCACGCAAGCTTGAAAAGTAGCCCCCGAAAAATAAATTATATTTTTCCCCCTGGTTTAGAGTAGTACTAGTAGGTGGAGTAGGGAGAAGCTAGTGAAGAATGAAGAATGGGAGAAGAGAAAAGCTGGTGGAGGAGGAGGGGAGAAGCTGGTGAAGAAGGAGGAGGGGGAGAAGCTAGTGGAGAAAGAGGAAGGGGAGGAGGGGGAGAAGGGAGATGGTAGAGGAGGAGGGGGAGAAGGGAGAAGCTGGTGGAGGAGGAGGGGAAGAAGCTGGTGGAGAATGAAGAAGGGGAGAAGGGAGAAGCTGGTGGAAAAGGGAGAAGCTGGTGGAGAAGGGAGAAGCTGGTGGAGGAGGAAGGGCGGGAGAAGGAAGAAGGTGGTAGAGAAGGAGGAATTAGGGGAGAAAGGAGAAGCTGGTAGAGAAGGAGGAGGGGGAGAAGCTGGTGGAGAACTTCCACTGATACGTCCAAAACGTCGATAGACCGCGTAGCGCCAGCTGGCAGTGGTGTTTGCAAGTTAATTTACGACGCTAAACCAGGGGCCCGTTGTCAGAAACAAAATTAGTCTTAACATTAACTTTTTCTCTTAGACCGTCGTCAGAAACGCTGCGAAGTTACCTGAATGAAAAATCGTAGCAGATTTCCTCGTAACAATATGAAACAAAGTGCTGTCGACGGTCTACGAGAAAATGTTTAATAGTGTTAAGACTAATGTTAAGACTAATTTTGTTTCTGACAACGGGGCCCTGATGTTTACCCATAGACCCTATGAGCCCTAGTAGTAGTAGTAGTAGGGTATAACATGGAACGTAGGCGACATCCAATTACTACAAACAAACCAGATGGGTTAATTTATTCATTCTCCGTTTTCGATATACAGTAGTCCCCTGGTCTTTGGACTAATTTTCAGAGATTATGAGGTTATGCCTGGGAGACAATGCCGCTGAATGCGAAAGTCTCGATGGAGTTTACGATTCACTGCTAGTTCAGCTCATAGGGTCTATGTCCCCCAGGGTACTGCCAGAACGTACCCTGGGTACGCCGTACGATCCGGTATACCGGAACGTACCCTGGTAACTTAGTATCTGATATGGTTAGGGTTAGGACTTAGGGTTAGGGTTAGGGTTAGGGAGTAGGCGTTGGCGACTCCCTAGACTCGTTAGTGGAGTAGGCGAAGTACGATCCGGCATATTAGATAGTACCACTACCAGGGTACGTTCCGGCAGTACCCTGGGGGACATATGATAGATTATTACTAATAGTAATACTAATAGTAATAGTAATACTAATAGTAATACTATTGACTGTCACCCTCTCAGCGCTACGCCGCTAGTTCAAGTTGCAACTCATCGATAGTGTCGGTGTTTTGTCAATATTATAAACTCACCATTTAGATGATTGTAGAAGACCACGAGAACAACACTCACGCTGGGCCGTAAATAACTGTTTTTTAATTAGGGACAGCTCCATAATCACAAAAAGTTGTGTTGTGAAATATCGTTGTATCGCATAAACTTCCCGCAAACCTTGGCGGGGTTTAGACTGGTCCGCGCTCGACAGTTTCACTTGCGTTACACTGACGCGTTCAGTATAACGCGAGTGGAACTGTCGAGCGTGGGATAGTCTAGGCGGGGTTCACCAGTTGCATTCTGGGAAGCGTCGCGCACCCCATCTCAGCATCTCTCCAGGAACTACAATGAAACGGCCTTTTCCATAAGCGAACTAACTAAGCTAAACTATGGCTCAGCAGTTATTTTAGGAAATTAATAAACGCCATCCACCGATTTTCCAGTGCGAGGACGACATATATTTTCTTAACTACAATATTTTCCCATATTTTTAATAACAAAATAATATTATTTTCTTGAAATATTACAATACAGTATACTATAATTATATAGGCCTAGCTATTTCAATACATAATAAAATTATATAAGACTAATCCTGTACATACTCGCGCTAAACCTCTTTTAAAACCGCAAACCTAACTGTATTAGATACGTGATAAGGGTGCGCTCGGTATATCCCAAAACGCTATACCCACCGCATATTGATAGGGCCTGCTTAGCGCGTTTCAATCGTCAGTGTATGATTATCACTGATACACGTATAACAGAAAAATGCAGAAAAAAGCCGCCTGAAATAACGGACTGAAGAAAACTGCATAATATATAGCTTGCTAAGGGAGCGAGGGGTGTGAGACTGAGAAAAGGCGGGCTGCCCCGGCAAGGAAGATAGCTGAGGGGCGGTAGAAGAAGACGGAAGCTGAGCGAGAGAATTCCATATGGCATATGGTATATCTCAGCATTAGAACTGGATTAGAAAATGTAAAAATTAAGTGACATAAACGTTGTAAATAATGACAAATAAGCACATATGGTAACTTTATTGCGTTTATTAATTAAAAACATTCGTTTACAACAATGATACAAGATGGCGCCCATGAAGACGTCTCAGACGATCTCAATTATAATTTTTATAATAATCTTATTATTAATAATAATAAAGACACATATGATCATTTAAAAAATGTAGTATACTCTCTAATATTACGTATATTAATCTCATTAGAAAGGCATAGTTATAATTGAGATCGCCTGGGACGTCTTCATGGGCGCAGCTTGTATCGTTGTTGTAAACGAGTGCTTTAAATTAATAAACGCAGGAAAGCTACAAAGTTACCATATTTGCTTATCTGTTACTATTTACCACTTTTATGTCACTTATTACATTTTCTAATCCAGTTCTAATGCTGAGATACCCCCTAACCATATGGAATTCTCTCGCTCAGCTTCCTTCTTTTTCTACGCGCATGCTCAATATCTCACCAGACGAGTTATATTTTGTGATGAATATGCATTTAATATGGTTAGGGGGTATCTCAGCATAGATTTCTGTAAGAAATTGTTATCAGTAGACCTGTGTTTATAATTAGGAAAGCGCCCTAACCTATACGGCGAAAAACTTCTACTTTATCCCCTCCCCTCCTTCCACTTGACTCCATTGTGTCTTGCTCAACCTCCTTCTTTTTCTACCGCCCCTCGGCTATCTTCTCTGTCGTCTCTCCTCAGTCTCCTACCCCTCTCTACCTCAGCAAGCTATATTATGCATTTTTCATCACCCCATACTGCACGCCTAAGATGGTGCTCGCGCATGCGTAATATCTCCAGGGAGGAATACTATTTTGCAAAAATTATGCATTTAAAATGTAGAGGAGGTATTGTATCATAGATTTATATGATAATATTTTATCAGTAGACCTTTCTTACGAAATAGGAAGAAGATATTGCATGTAAGTGGCCCGCTGCATCTAACAGTCAGTACACAATCTGTCTACGTTAGCGTGTTACCGCATGCGCAATATCGCAACAGAGGAGTTATATTTTGTGATGAATATGCATTTAATATGGTTAGGGGGCATCTCAGCATATATTTCTGCAATAAATTGTTATAAGTAGACCTGTGTTTATAATTAGGAGAGCGCCCTAACCTATAAGGTGCAAAACTTCTACTTCATCCCTTCCCCTCCTTTCACTTGACTCCATTGTCCTGTACGAGCGCGCCGATCGCCTCTCCGTCTGTCTCCGCCGCAGTCACGTAGGCTTCGTCTTCAAACGTGGCTGCAAAATATTACAGGTTCCGTTAACGTGAAACATTAGGAAAGGAATCTCGATCTGCGTTGCCCCCTAGCGGCATTTGGCTCACTCTGTAGATTGTATAGCTTACCATACCTGGCTCGGGTCTGCACAGAATTCGTTGTTTGTGGCCTTCCTCGCTTTACTTTTGCGTAAGTTTCCCGCAATTTACCGTGCGTGGGATGTATCGATGATCTAAAATCATAGATTAACATTAGAAATCCACCATATCTCATATGTAACAGATCCATGGTGATATGTATATAGTGTGAGAGACTGTCAGAGACTGTGCAATAGAGAACAGCGGAGAGAGATCAAGATAGAGAGAGAGAGCAAGCAAGAGAGGGAGAGAGAGAGAAGGCGTCTACGGTCGCCTGTCATTTGATGGATGCCTTGCCCCGCACCTGGTGTTCTAAACATGAATACATTACATAACCATCTTATAATGAATGTCGACTTTACAGGAAATTATAGTACCGCGTCGAATTCGTACAAAGAGATGAAACTCAATAACGACTATAAGAAGCTATGAAAGTTTTATTGATAGTTATTTTATTAGTTGTTAACTTTCGTATTTATAGCTGATTCGTATAATTCAATTTTTTGCGAGTACAACTTACCAAAGAAGCGTGAAGAGAAGGGGTTTGACGTGCTTGTCATAAATCTCAAACCACTTTTCAAGATGCGCGGGATAACCTGTCCACCTCCCATACACAAAATCTGGAAAGTATTTCATTACGTAACATTAATATCATTCTGTTCGCTGTCTCAGTCGCGGTTATAGCCATAGTTGTGGTAGTGACGATGATGAGGATGCCGATGAAAGCAACGACAATGACGATGATAAATTCTCGCGTTAACTTACGTCACGTTCTATAATGAATTCTAATATCTTTAGCTTCGTAAAGTAGTAACTAACGACTATACCGACCTTCTGCTCCTTTCCACAAACTGCTAGCATCCACGGCTTCCACGTGTTTCCAGAAAACCACGAGACCCGTATGTGTGGAGACAGCGTGTTAGAGCGCTGAAATTCACGCAGATATTCAAATTAATCATGCAATCCTATAAAAATTAACATAAGTTCGTTCTATATGCACGCCTTTGGCTAGCAAATTATTTTCCGATTAAAACCATGTAATGAGTACAATACAGAAAACGCCATAAAAGTTGTACACGCGCGACAGATTTATCGTTTTTTATCAGAAAAGGTTCACGTAAGCCAAAATACCCGCACGTACGGTTTAATGAGTACAAACGAACCCGGGTAATGCCGTGTTACTGTACCCCACTCATTATGATTATATCAATGTCATACATACTATTAAAAACATTAACATGCTCGTGAAAATAATGGCAGAAACCGACTTACTCTCCTCCTGGAGGAACGTAGGCAAACGAATTGTTGACCTCGGAGCAGTAGGTCGGTGGCAGCGCGTGCCATCTCTTAAAGTGACGATTGAGGATTTGGTCGGCACAACCTGAAATTGAATACGACGCGACACGTCTTAACACCCAGAAATATCAGATTCTAACAACAACAACAACTACGTAAATACACACGGTGTTAGTAGTGTGCGCGTTCAGCATGTAAAGGTGGATAGCATAGCAGGTGGATCCTTCATCTTAAAAAGTCACTTAACGTAATGACGGTATAGGCTATAGCCAACATCGAGCATTTTGGTTCTCGTTGGTACTTCGTGTAGTCAATATGTCAAGTACCTTATTGCCGGTAGACGAGACACTATAGAATTGACCGCGTTTAGAGCTTGCGCTTAGATTCCCCTACCCTTCTTTCCATGTAGAATTATAGTCACTTACTGCTAAAGTCGAGCGAATCCTCGCAATTTCGGGCCAATTTCTGTAACCTTTTGAATGTGTTATGAGCGGCCGTCGGTTCTACGACCATGACGCTGCTGTGGAACGTTTGAGGCCGGCGATGGTAGGCAACAGCGGAGAGTTGAGGTTCGCCGAACAGATGGTCGATGTTGTGGTGCACCTGCGAGAGAATGACATGTCGCATTTTCATCCAGGTAATCTACATATTATTATGTGAAACATGCAACAGCGTACATCGTGTGCAGGGAAAGAGTACGTAGTTTGAAGTGACATGCAGGATCACATCTCGTATACGGGAGAGGAAAACGTGCGCGCCAAGCCTTAAAGGCGCGCGTTGGGAGCTAGAGGAAAGATAGGTTGAACAGAGGTTGAAGTAGAGGGACATACCAGCGTGGCAGGCGCAAGAAACACACATTTGGAGTATTGGCGGGAATACTGCCAAGTGTCAAGTGCTACTAGGGATTCGTCTATGACGAACATCCGCATGGCGTTGATCCTCTCCAGAACGCTAATTGGTATCATGTCGTTGTACAGCTCCGACAGCAAGTATCTGCGCATGCGCGCACACACCCACATTTAATGTCATCACACACGCATTTCTTTACTAGATTACGTCAACCTTATAGTAGACGCACCATAGGTTATGATGATTGTACGGTTTGTTTTATCCGTAATAAACGCGTGCCGATTAGGGAGAACGAGGGACCGCATGTTACTGGTCATTTTCTCACCGGAATTCAAGAGAGACTTTGTTGGTAACCATGCAGACGAGTCTACGGGTGACCTGAGCATGACGCAGCGAATGACCTAGTACGAGCGCACCGATCGCCTCTCCGCCTGTCTCTGCCGCAGTCACGTAGGTTCGTCTTCAAACGTGGCTGCAAAATATTACAGGTTCCGTTAACGTGAAACATTAGGAAAGGAATCTCGTTCTGCGTTGCCCCTAGCGGCATTTGACATTCGCTCTGTAGATTGTATAGCATACCACCTACCTGGCTCGGGTCTGCACGGAATTCGTTGTGTGGCCTTCCTCTCTTTACTTCTGCTTAAGTTCCCGCAATTTCCCGTGCGTGGGACTGTATCGCTGATCTAAAATCATAGATAAACATTAGAAATCCACCATATCTCATATGTAACAGATCCTGCCTACACTGATGCTGGCCATGTCTTGGAGCATGCTGCGCGTGCAGACGGTAGCAATACGCAGCGTCACCTGTGCGGCACCGTTAAACAGCCCGGTAATGGCGTTGATGCCTTCCACCGCCGACATACGCGACAACATGCCTGAAAAGATTAATGTAAATTAATGACTACTGGTGTAGCTGTTGTTAATACACACGGAACCCCTGCACGAACGAACGCACACAAGTCCTCTTACATTGCGACCAGGGTTATACGCAACATATCCAATGCATATCAAACA